CCCGCGACAGCGCACCGTCGCCGTTGCTGATTCCGAAATTCGAACCCTCGCCGTCGTCGCTGCCCCACTGCTAGGTCGCGGGTTGAGTCGGGTCAACCCGGCTGGGTTGGGTCCGGGTTGAAATGCCCGACCCGTTTTTGCAAACGGGTCAAGTTCGGCTTGACCCGTTTAAATTCGTGTCGGGTCGGGTTCGACCCGAACCAGATGGGTTGACCCGAATTGACACCCCTAGATAAATGTCTAGTGAAAGGCCGACAATAGATGGAAGTCCAATGTCGGGTAGAAATTTGGCGACGAGCGGAGGCATGGTGTCAGGTAGAAGTTCGACATAAGTTGGAGGATGAGGAGAACTCTATGTTTAGATGGTATTCGGACAGAACTCCGGTGTCACTTGTAGTTTGGGTGAAACTCCTGCGTCACTTGGAGGTCGGGCAGAATTTCAGTGTCACTTGGAGTTCGGGCGGAATTCCGGCGTCACTTAGGTCAGGTGAAATTCCAGCATCGCTTGGAGTTTGGACGGAATTCCGGTGTCACTTGGAAGTCGGGTAGAATTCTGGCGTCCCGTGGAAGTCGAACAGAATTCCAGCGGTGGCAGAGGAGGAGTTTCTTCCCTCATATTCTTCTCTTCTTCTTCTTCTTTTGTTCTTCTCCTTGTTTTTGCTTGGGACTTGGTTTCGGGCCCCCTTTCAAGAGAAATGAGGGGTCCATTTATAGATTTCTGGAGTGACATGACTTGTAAATATGAGGAGGATCGAGGGCAATTGTAAAGTGATTTGGATGAACAACCGATATTGAATCCTTTGATCATGGATAGTTCATCAGACATTTAAAGGTCTTAATGATATCAGAATTCGGCGATCTTTGGCTCTTTGGATTCGTCTCGTCGAGCCGCTTGATTCGACTATAAGCATGTCATTTTTAGAAACCGTTTGGTAACTCAAATTGTGGTTCGAACTTTCCAATAACACTTCAGGTCCTTGATTTGTACTCATTTGTTCTTGGATTGAGTCAAATTTCATGTCGTTAGGTTCAAATTTCCGAGTCGATCAGTT